TCAGAGAGAAGGCAAGGGGGGGGACAGGGTTAAGAGATCAACCACAGGACTTGTATGCATGCATATGAGCATAACCAATGGACATGGACACTGGGGCTTATCCTGGGGGGAGAGAGTGACAGGGGGCAGAGTCAATCTGGAAAAAAGGAGATAACAAAATATATTTTAAAAAAAAGAAAAGAAAAAGAAAATGGAATCAAATCTGTTTTTTAAACAGTGTATGGGGAACGGGAAAATTTGCAAAGTAGAAACATTCAAATGTTAGAGCTTCTTAAGATGACTACCTAGAGGTCAAGAACTAAACACTGATCCCTATTATTAGGACCAACCGCTAAGCCCCAGGGTATAATTTTCTACATATTTTAAAGGATCTCCTCATCCTGCTGAGCCATGCAATGGCTCCCTCTAAAAAGCATCAAATGAGAACCATGGAGAAAAGGAGTTGGAGTTGATAATTTAAGAAGGGCAGGCAGTCTCAGGATCCACTAAAACTCTATTCAAAATGTTAAACAGATTTTATAGAAAATGGAATCAGCCCTGACCGGTTTGGCTGAACAGATAGAGCATCGGCCTGCGGAATTCTCCACGTGTGCTTTGTAAACAGCATCCTCCTCCAGGTTCTCAGGTGACTGTGAAGAGCTGTCTGTCATGGCTGCTGGAGAGTCACTGACCCACAATTCCCCGCGATTTTCTGTGGAGACATTAACATGGTGCAAACTGTGTGCCTCTATCAGTATGACTGTCAGTATTGTCTACCTCATTCTTTTTAAATGTTTATTCTCACCAACTTCACACACACACACACACACACACACACACACACACATACACACACTAAACCGTTGCCCCACACACATACCTTGGACTCTCTCTAGTGTCTTTGAGCAATGTGCCAATTAATAGTGGCAGCATCTTACCAGCAAGTAGTGATAGCATCAAAAAACTGGAAGAATCCCTTTCCTAAGAAGAGTGAAGGACTTAAAACCTTATCTGCATAATTTCAGAGCCTAGTTACCATTTTTCAGCTAGGCTATTTCTGATTTTTCTTCCAAACACTGCTCCAAAACTCTAAGAGGCAATGTGAAGTCAGAAAAAAGCAAAGGAAATGTTGACAGCAATCCCAAGTGCCCAGATCTCCCTACTCACTTCCCCTTCAAAAATGCATGAGGGAAAAGGGTGCTGCTGCTATAGAACAGCCCCACTTTCCAATGACATTCTTCTCAAGCCGGATAATGTCAAAATGCCTGTGAGGCATGTATAGATGTCATTAAAATGATCCTATTCCAAGGTTTAGATATTTGTGTTCAACTTTGATTAGGGATTCTGAAGATCTCCTTCACCACTTACCTTTGATTAAATTGAATAGATATTTCTTAGCTGAAAAGACAATCTCTCAAGATACCAACTCCCCTTGGCATTTCCCAAGAACTCAATTCACTTTATTTGCACTGAATGGGGTCTAGGATTGCTTTCCCTAAAGCAAAACATACATCATAATCCACAGCAAACACCTCATCCCCTTTGGATTTTCCTTATCAGAACTCACCACCTCTGCAGGCCTGGACAATGATGACCTTAGGTTTGTCCTTGAGACTGGGGCAGTTGCGATTGTTGAATATCCGAAAGATGGTGTCATAAGGTAGCACATCTGGGTTTTCCTTGCTGTGCTGAGTCCCACAGAGTCTATCCAGCAGGCCATGGGACATGAACACCAGGAATGTACTATCTGAGGTCCTGTGCTCTGGGCGGGCAGCAAATTCCACCAGCACTTTCTCCATCTCCTGAAAAAGACCATGGAGTCTTACTCTACAGGACAAGCATTAAGACCAATCTGACCCCCTGTTTATGGTGAGCAGTACAAGAAACACCTGCAATGTTCCAGTCACTGTGCCTTCAGATAGTGGTTGCTCAGTGATAGGTTTCTTTTTTTTTTTTTCTGACAGTGGAGCTGGGGGTTCAAGGACCTGCTCCTGCTAACTTTATATGAGCTGCCCTCTTGATATATTTTATATTTGTTTATTTTTACTTATATACTTTTTTCTTTCTATCTCTGTCTTTAATCTGATTACCTAATAGAAATCTTGTGTCATAAATATATCCTACCTCTTCCCTTCAACAACCCTTCCCGCTGTGCTTAGAATGCAATCACACTTCTGACATATGTGTTCTCCCTCCTGTCATCCTTCCTAGGCTGTCCTTACACTGGTCTTTTTGTATATTTCATGTGTCAGTTTCATATGTAGTTCACACTCTTCATCGTAGTGATCCCTCTTGGAATGGGTTGCATTCACATATTCCCAGGCCTTTCTTACTGGTTGTCATCTGTCAGGTCCTAAACTGTCTCCTGTAAAGGCTTTTCCTGACCGTTCCATCAAAGCAATTACTCCCCACTCCCCAATTCACTCTTATGTTCTCTTTTTCTTGTTTAAAATGCTTTTAACTTCATTTTCACTCTTACAGAGAGTCACAAGACACATCAAATCTCTGAAATTTTCTGTTTTTCTTTTCATATGATTGCCCCCCCCCACCAGTAAACCTAAATCAATTCAAACTTGGAATGTCCTGTCTCATTCACAGACCTACCCTCAGTGCCCAAATAGGCCCTGGTACCAAGTCAGGACTCAGTATTTATATGGTGACTACATGCCTTTTAAACTTTCATTACTTTAGAATTTTCTGGGAATGTTGGGTTTGAATCCCATTCACCTCACTTTGGAACTGAGAATTATGTGGGTATACATGCCAGGCACTTTCTGTCTAGTTTCATGGACTTGAGGATATTTGGAGCCCAAAGAGACATAGATGTCATCTATCTAATAATTTCATTTTATAAACACACCTACTCGCCGAAACCGGTTTGGCTCAGTGGATAGAGCGTCGGCCTGCGGACTGAAGGGTCCCAGGTTCGATTCCGGTCAAGGGCATGTACCTGGGTTGTGTGCACTTCCCCAGTGGGGGATGTGCAGGAGGCAGCTGGTCGATGTTTCTCTCTCATCGATGTTTCTAACTCTCTATCTCTGTCTCTCTCCTTTCCTCTCTGTGGAAAATCAATAAAATATATTTAAAAATAAATAAATAAACACACCTACTTACATGCACGTGCCCACACAGAGAAATATGTGGCCTAAGGTGATTAAAGCATTTGGCTATCATTATAAAGTTAGTTTGTTAGTAGGAGTGTGTGTGTGGTGCATGAGGAGCCCTTACCTTGGCTGTGAGTTTCTCTTCCACAATCACACTGTAGCCAAGGCTCACAAGCAACTCTTTCATCCCTGTGATGTCAAGGTCAGCCCCTTTCCTGGGCTGAAGGTGATCAAACTCTCTATTGCATATGATGAGAGCCAGGCGAGTGCGGTCTTTTCTCTCCTTTATTGGATAGATCTGCAGGAAACGGAAATGCAGTGAGTTTGGCTGACCTAAATCTCTTTTAAACCTTCAGGTACTAATCTCTGTTGCTTTGTTACAGGATCATAGATCTGCTCTCTCCCCTCTCCTGTACCAGAGACCCTGTCTTTTTTTTTTTGGTAATGGATTGAACTGACAAAAGGAATGTGAGAATTGAAAGTGATTTAGAACTTTCAGGTTATATAAAAATAAAAATAGACTGAAAAATAAAATAATGTAACTTATTTTCTAAGAGCCCAGAAGTGGACCTAGAACATATTTGGGATGCTTACTCAAGAATCTTGAAGAGACTAGAACAAATCCTAACATAACTTTCTCCTCTCTCTTCTCCACCTAGACAAATCATTCTCAGTGTTCAAGGTTCAGATCAAATTCCATAAAAACCAGGAGACATTTTCTATTGGCTCCAGCTAAAAATAAACACATCAGAGATGCTTTACCTTTGGTGATACCATTATTTCAGTATTATTTTTAACACATCGAGATAAAATGGGTTTCAGGCTTTAATTGTATTTTAAGTCATGTTTTGTCTCTAGCCTTTTCAGCTAGTATGAAAATAATTACTAAATATTTTGATCTACAGCTACAGCTTAATTGTAATAAGTCTCAAATAGAACAAATAAATGAAGAGAGAAATCTGTATTTTATCATGGGGCTGAAAGAAAATTGGAATCTGTATGAGGCAAATGAGTTCCTCCTTGCTCAAAGCATCTATGAAAATGATTACCACTGTCCCCACCCCACCACTCTGCAATTAGTGCTTTAGGGAATCAAGTACTTAGTGAAAGCAATTGCTTCTCTCTCTGTCTCTATTTTATGGATAGAACACAGTACCTCTCCAGCCTTTTCTTGACACATTTTCAGGAAATCTTCAGGAGGACAAAGCTTGAGGGTATCTGTAGTTTCTGCTGACTCAGCTGGCCCAGTCACTTCTGCAGGAGCTGCAGGATCTATCACATGACATCACATGATGTAATTTTAATATCTGCATCTGTTACCCATGATCACCTAAGACATCCTGACAGAGAAGGTAAGTCATGAAAAGTTCTTAAAACACTTTTAAATGTAGGAATTATTTTTTGTATTTAATCTCTAATATGAAGAAGTGTATTGTGACTGGGAATGAAGGGGGGTGGGTGGGCCGTGGGTGGTTGGCGTGGGTGGTTCCTGTTCCCTTGTGGAACTCAGAGTCAAAGACAATTTGCATATTAGCTTTTTTATTACATAGGATGGTATAACATCCCAAGTCTGCGCCTAATTTACACACAACACAGACATAGACACACACTAAGCACCTAAAAGAATCCTGAATCCTGTACCAATAGGCATTATTTGTTCAGGGACCTCAGCCTGTATTTTCAAGTTGCAGAGGAAATGGGCTTCTATGATTCTTTCCAAAGCTGTAGAGTCAGCTATGTCAAGGAGAAAAGCTAGGAAATTCTTGGTAGCAGATCCACCCAAAAATGTAATACTAGATTATGATTATTAAAAGGAAAACACCTTCCTTGGTGACTTCGGTCAAAATTAGGTTTTTTATATTCAGCTAAAACAGCCTGAGTCTGGCTATATTTTACTCTAAAGCACTCACTCATCTAACTGGAATGTTTCTTATCACTGAGCAAGATTATATTGAATAAATATTTAATAGAGTGTTATTCATTAGAAACATAATGAAGTCACATGTGCAATTCAATTTTTGCTAATGTTCACATTAAAAAGGAAAAACAAACAGGTGAAATTAATTTTAATAATATTTTGAAATCTGTGGAGTTAGCTATGTCCAGGAGAAATGCTACTAGCCACCAGAGTACTGATTCCAGGGCCAGGGGGACAACATTTTACGCAGAGATTCTAACATACACTGGATGTCCTTGCCTCCAAAGTTCTGATGAACCAGCACTACATTTTCAACCCATGTTTTATTTTTTTTTTTTAAATATATTTTATTGATTTTTTACAGACAGGAAGGGAGAGAGATAGAGAGTCAGAAACATCGATGAGAGAGAGACATCGATCAGCTGCCTCCTGCATACCCCCTACTGGGGATGTGCCCGCAACCCAGGTACATGCCCTTGACCGGAATCGAACCCGGGACCCTTCAGTCCACAGGCCGATGCTCTATCCACTGAGCCAAACCGGTTTCGGCTCAACCCATGTTTTAAAATGTGAGGGAATAACTCCTCCCTTTTGAAGAAGTTTGTTTCTGACTCATCCTGACCCAGTCCTTACAGAAACTTAACTGTATCCGCTACAGCTTGGCATCACTTGACAAAATTTGCAAGAGACTGGAAAAGTCCAGCACCCCCCCCTTTCAGAGGAATGAGTAAGAATGCATAAACAACAGAAGAGAGGTTTGCCAAGATCTAATTAACAAGGTTTTTGTTCAGAAAGAAACCTTGATGGTTAGTTACATGAACCAATCAAGGAACTCCCTGATTTTCTTTTATTTAAAAGAAAAAGAAATATCCTGTACAAATGTTTAGTTTCTATTTTTTCTATTTTTTATATTTTACTCATTTATTTCCATTAGTTTTTTTTCATAATATTTTTATAAACTTCTTTCTAAAATATGTGCTAAACACCAGAGCTCTGGAGATGCAGCAAATTGTTAGTCTCTAAGGAAACCAAGCTTTCTAAATATTTTTATAGATTAAACAGGGGCATCCTCTCCCTTCTCATTCCAGAAGATTCTGGCAATGTAAAGACTCCCCGGGTCCTGGGTTATTCTCTCATTAGATGGGATATTTTTCAGCAAAAACCTCCTCTATTTCCAGGTTATTTGCAAGTTTGGTGAGCACTCTAACTTAAGAAACATCATCTCCTAATGACCGTTGTGTGTCTGTATAAATATAGTGTTTGCAGTTAAGATTGGGATTTAATATTTCCGTGTTACATCTAATAGTACAAATTAGCATGAAAACAAATCCTCTCATTACAATCTATACTAATAATGGAGGAATATGCAAATTAGCCAGCGTGCTATCATGTAACGACCAATCAGAATGGGTGCAGGGCTGCTGTGGATAGCTCTCAGCATGCCTACACTGGGGTTCCATAGGGTGCGGAGAGGAAGGGAGAGCGGATAGGCAGTTAGGGGGGTCAGGCCAGGAGGGGAGCACAGATAGGCAGTTAGGGTGATCAGGCCAGGAGGGGAGAGCAGTTAGGCAGTTAGGGGGATCAGGCCACGAGGGGAGAGCAGATAAGCAGTTAGGGCAATCAGGCCAGAAAAGGAGAGCAGATGGGCAGTTAGAGGGATCAAGCCAGGAGAGAAGAGCAGTTAGGGGGATCAGGCCATCAGGGGAGAGTAGTTAGGAAGTTAGGGGGATCAGGCCAGGAGGGGAGAGCAGTTAGGCAGTTACGGGGATAAGGTCAGCAGGGGAGAGCAGTTAGGGCCATTAGGCAGGCAGGCAGGTGAGCGGTTAGGAGCCAATGGTTCCGGATTTTGAAAGGGATCCCGCATTGGAGAGGCTGTAGTCCAGGCTGAGGGACACCCACCCCCACCGCCCCGCCACCCTGTGTATGAATTTTGTGCACTGGGCCTCTAGTATAATAGATATTATAGTGCAGCCTGCTGCCCAAAAGGAGTTTGTAGCAGCCTGGGAATGGAGCTGAAAGAAATGAGAGAATTAGGAGTTTAGATAAAACTTTAAAAAGCTCAGTTTACCTGTTACCTAAGGACATATTCAGGAAACCCTTTAAAATGATATAAAAAGGAAGGGACTGATATTAGATGAGATAAAACCATATCCTTGGTGGGTAGCAATTTGAGTACTTATCTCTCTGACTAAATAGCAATCATATGTGTCTATATATGAGTTTTTTAAATAAAATAAGCAATCAAATACCTTGTATTCTTTCTATTCAATTTCTACATCATTCCCTCAATATTATACTAGGGACCCTCAGAATTATATCTGTGGTATGTCCAAAAAGCCTGGCCAGGACCTTACTTGTTCTAACATCTCATCTTACCCAGCTTCCTGGCCTGCTAGGCTTGTGAACCTTAGTTGTCCTAGGATCACCCTGGAGCAGGGGTCCTCAAACTATGGCCTGCGGGCCACATGCAAATATAAATATTGTATTTGTTCCCGTTTTGTTTTTTTTCTTCAAAATAAGATATGTGCAGTGTGCATAGGAATTTGTTCATAGTTTTTTTAAACTATAGTCTGGCCCTCCAACGGTCTGATGCACAGTGAACTGGCCCCCTGTTTAGAAAGTTTGAGGACCCCTGCCCTGGAGGTTCCATGTGCAGATAGAGCCCTCGGAACCATACAACACATCATGATAGGATCTACTCTTGCCTCCTGCCTGCCACTCACTACCTCTGCCATTGCAGTGGTTCATATCAGTTTGGTTTAATGCTTATGGTGATTCCTGGGGTTGCTGAAATTATTTTATAATTTCTACTATTTAAATGTGATTTTTATTTGCAAATGTTTTATTTTTGGGAAAAAAAATCACTTATTCCTACCCCATCCCAGATTAAAGAGAAAGTAATAAACCTGTACAAGGAGCAGCGTGAATGTTAGTGAGAACTCCGCTCAGGCCACAATCTTGGACATCTACCAAACAAGCGTGTCCTTCCTGCTGGGCGGAATGTCCCTCCCACCTAGAGAAGGGCTTCTTTCAAAAGCTGATACACAGACATGCATAACCCATGGACACAGACACTGGTGTGGTGAAGGCCTGGGGGTGGAGGGGAAAAACAGGACATGTAATGCTTTCAGTAATAAGGAGCCATTTAAAAAGAGGAAAGAAAAAGGAAACCAAAGCTTATGTGTAATTTGGAGGGCTCTATAATGTATGTAGCCTTGTGTGCATTATTTTTTCTTATTGATGAGCTCTAGTACACAAGGTTGGGGGTTTTGGTTAAACTCTGCAGCCAGCAGAGTCGGTCACTGTTGAATTTGAGCCTGAGGACATGTAGTCTCTAGTAGCATTTGTAATTCAATCTAGGTCAACATGTTTGAAAGATTTTAATATATTTGAAACTTTTTAGGTGTTACTGGAAAGTTCTAAATATTACTATGATAATCACGATTACTAATATTTATTGCATGCGGGTTCTTTGTTTGCTTATTCATCTTATATTTATTATGTGCCTGGCACTCTGTTAAGAGCTCTTATTCATTCATTGGCAAAGACAACAGCTGCATTCTGGATTAAGAAAATTGGTGGATTATAGTTCTAATGAGATACAAAGGGAATAGATTTGATGAGGAGCATCAAGTGTATAATTTCAAATATTTTAGTTGTGTGAAGCCAGAGGAATATTTGAGTGGAAATGGAGACTATGCTGCCAGAGCTCAATGTATCTGGAGCTCAGGGGAGAGTGCTGGGTGAGAAATAAACTGTTAGGAGTTGTCCCATATGCCTACCACTCTGTTCTTAGGCTTATGAACCTCGCAAAGTTCCTAAAATTGCCCCCATTTCACAGATGCTGAGACTGATGCCTAAGGAGATACAGAAACTTGAAGAAGTCATGCATGTAGTGTCCAAAGTGGCAGAACCAGGGTTCGGGATCAGGTAGCCCTAACCACAAAGTCTCTACAGTGAGCTCTTTCCATGAGCAACCTGAACACAAACCCTCAGCTTCTTAGCTAGTCAGAAACCAAGCCCCCTCTCACAAAGGACAAGATAGCCCCTAAAAGGGCACTGATGAGGCTAGTGAAAATAATATTTTAGTAATTAAGGATGGGGGCATTACAGAAGGCACCGGCGGGGCATTGGAGATAAACAGATTCCAGATAATTTGAGATATTTGTTGCAAATGCCTCTATTCTTACCTTTTGTGCTGATGGAATTTTTGTTTGTGTTAAGGAAGGTTTGGACAAGGACTTGACCTGCTTCATGTTGTTTCCCTCGCACAGCGTCCACTAAAACCCGGGCCTTGTCTCCAGGTTTGGCGTCATTGAATTTTTTCTTGTCAGTTTCCTCCAATTTCAGAACATCTTTTTTCACCAATCCATCCAAAACTTCAACTAAGATGTCTTTCCCGATAGATTCCAAAGCCTTAAGTGGGTTTTTGTAGAGTTTATCTGTCAGAAATACAAAGACTCCTTCAACTGTGGGCAAAACCAAAGAGTTTTGCACTATATTTAGAGACCTCCCCTGAAAGGTGAAATACCTTCTGACTATTTCAATGTTTCCCCAATAAAATACATCCCTCTTTCATTGTACCTGTGGCATTCTGTCAGTGCATCAAAAACGTACTAGGCTTTGTTTAATGATTATTGTCCCTTGATTTTTAGATAGCTTCCTATCTCCTTTCTCTGACATTGAGCTTAATGTCACCCACCGGTCTTATATTTCTCTATTTTTCTCCATCTCATAGTGACGATGTATGCTCCAAGAAAAGTCGATGCTCTTGTCCCACCAGACCACAGAATCTATTTTCTCTATGTATTTAGTTTTCCTGGTGAAAGCACGATGCATTTGAATCCACAGTCTGTATCCACATCTCCTAGTTACATCTTTGTGCTTAAATTCTTAAAAGTACTTATAGCCTAGCTGAAAATATGAATTAATGAATAAGTGAATAAATGCATCCAGGCTCCCAATAATTTAAAATCTTGTCTCAATCAAAAGTTAGAGTTGGAAATAATATGCTGACTAATCTTTCAAGATGGTAGATTAATTTGATAACAAGTTAATTTATTACTGCCTGGGATAGTTTGAATTTTTATAGAGGAATATAGAAGTCAATATAATAAATATTTTTTTAATACCACAGGTATGACTTAGACATATATGGGAAGGCAGGATATCTCATCAATTCTCAATTAATTCTAAGATAATTATTCAGTCCATCTAGATATAAGGATAGCCTTGACACAAAATGACACTTTCTAAAGAAAATGTGCCAGGACACATTTTCTTGAGCCCAGAAACACTAGCCTCATTTTCCATGTCATCTTGAATTATTTCAACAAATGTTTATTTAGTAGTGATTATGAGAAAGAAACATGAAATTACAAGTAAATTAAATGTTACCTTATATCAATTAGCTTAATTGTAGAGCCAACATCTCTTGTCCACTTAAATTTATTGAAAAATAAAATACATATAAAGCAATGTAAAACATCATCATCATCATCATCATTATTATTTACATGTCTCTGTACTAAACACAAACACTAATATGCCATATCTTCACAATAATCTAATGAGATAGCCATTATTTTTCTCTATTTCAAGATCATTTGCCCCAAATCACACAAATTGGGATTCACATTCTATTTTTACAACACAGCTTCAGTAATAATAATTCATATTTGTCAAGCCCCCACTGGTGCCAAGTGCTATGCACGAATCTTCTCATTTAAACTCTACCAAAACTCCATCTAACCTGCATATTAATAATTCTACTATATAAAAAAGAAAGCATATACAGAGAAATTGGTTAAGTAATTGACACAAATGGTATGTTTAGTGCACAGTGTGTCTAGTTAGTGGAGAGAAGGGAATCAAACTCAGGGGTTCAAAGCACCCCCCCCCCACTCATAAATCATCAAACTACATTACATGATACTTGGTGAAGAATTATTTAAAATAATGCAAAGTGTTTCAGGAACTCAAAGAAGACTTGGTAAATTTCTGCAGGTGAGACCACAAAGTCTTCTTAGAAAAGGTAATGAAAATACAGAGATACTATTGCCGGAAGCCAATTCCAGCATGTCAGCAGGGCTGAATCATCTGGAGATGGCTGAGGGCATTTCCCCAAACCTGAAAAAGATGCATCAGTGAATGCTTGCTGCAGACAGCTGAGGGCATTTAAATCTACATGTTATTGCCTCCTACTGGCCAAACACCTGAACAGCCGAAGGCAATTCCTCCAATCTGACAATGGATTCTGTATAGTAACCCTACCCTTCGATATGTATCTCTACTTTGCCTCAGGACAATTTGTGTTAATAAAAAGCAAGGGGTCCTGAGACAAAGAGAACTTGGTTTCTTTTGCTAAGTCTTCTCTGGCCCCTCAAATGCCTTCCAAAATTATGTTTCATCTCTGGCTCTTGATTAATTTACGCCATAGCCCTTCTCCAGATTCCTGAACCCTTCTAGATGCTGGATTAAGACCCCCGGCATTATACAATATAGTATACTGATGTTAGAACAGAGAGTTTGAAGAATTGCAAACAGCATACAAGTTAGTGTATGGAAGATTTAATCTACCTAAGTTCTGGGCTTCTGTTTCATTTACTAGCATCTGTGCACTCAAGAAGGTGGTATAGAGTCGACTGAATGAATGGCATGGGGAGAAATTTGATAAACAATACAACCAGAGTTTGGTCTTAGGTACTCTTCTCATCATCTCTACATTCTCATGGCTTCATTATACATTACTCCCAAATTTATGGATTCAGCCCAGATGTGGATACTAAAATTGAGACTCATATACCTACCTCCTCTCAATATACCACAAAGTTATTAAACTTATTTTCATAAAATTGATCTTTATATATACCTGTTCTGTTCCCTTTACTAGTAAATGATATCTAAACACCAAGTTCATCACATATGTTAATAGTGAATCTCTCCTGTTTTCTGAATAACTGATTTTCCATCTCATGTCAAATTGTATTGATTTTCTCTGCTAAATATTTACAGAATCTGCCCATTTCTCTCAATTTTAATTACACATTATTCCATTTCAGGCCAACATCCTTCTTTTTCCTAATTACTTCAGGACCTTTATAAATCTACTTTTGGATCCTTCTAATCTGTTTTCCACAATGAAGCAGACTTAGGGTGCTAAAATCTAGATTTAATCTTGAAACCTCTGAGCTTAATCTAATGTAGGTCTTCTCATTCATCCATCCTCAGTCTCTATCACTTACCCACCTTGCTCATTACCTTGTTTCTAGAAGACCCTTACTTAGGAAGCTCTATGTGGACAGTCTCCCAACTCCCACACTTTTTCCTGTTTCCCCACTGCTCCCTGATTCTTTATATCTCAGATGAGATGTAATTGCCTTCAGGAAATCCTACCTGAGGCTCCCAGACTAGACAGAGTGTCAGAGGTATAAGCTCCAGATGCCTTGATTCTCACTAGGCTAGCAATGTTTCCCTTGTGCTTGTTAATTGTATAATAATGGCAAACCAAATTTGGTTGTTTATATTTATTGGGCCATTTGTTTTTGTCTCTTGCCTTTCCATTTGCCACATCTATTATCTAATGATTCCCTGATTCCAAAATAATAATCAGTGAGGCCATCCTGCCTGGCCAAAGACGCAGCCATGAGTGTGAGTTTCACTCACTACTCTCCAGCCAAAGGCTTCCTGAAGAAAACAATCAATCCTTGTAGTATAAGAACTTAAGTAAAATGTCATGAGATGAGTCATAAACCCTGGAGCAGTGGTTCTCAACCTTCCTAATGCCTTGAACCTTTAATACAGTTCTTCATGTTGTGGTGACCCCCAACCATAAAATTATTTTCGTTGCTACTTCATAACTGTAATTTTGCTACTGTTATGAATCGTAATGCAAATATCTGATATGCAGGATGTATTTTCATTGTTATAAATTGAACAAAATTAAAGCATAGTGATTAATCACAAAACAATATGTAATTATATATGTTTTCCAATGGTCTTAGGCGACACCTGTGAAAGGGTCATTCGACCCCCAAAGGGGTCGCGACCCACAGGTTGTGAACTGCTGCCCTGGAGAGATTATACCATGAAGAGCATCCTATCTAATAAAAGAGAAACATGGTAATTAGCCATACGTCCGCTACCCTTCCCATTGGCTAATCAGGGCGATATGCAAATTAACTGCCAGCCAAGATGGCGACCGGCAGCCAGGCAGCTTGAAGCTAACATGAGGCTTGCTTGCTTCAGTGACAGAGGAAACCAACGTTTCCCGCCTGCCTTGCCGGCCTCTGAGCCTGCAGTTTGAAACATTGTTACAAATATAGAAGCTAAACAAAACCCAAGAAACCTGCTTTCAGCCCTCAGGGATCTCAGAACTTGAGTTGATACAGTGTTTTGATTATAGAACCCAAACAAACCAAATACTTGCTTTCAGCATCAGAGGCCTCAGAGCTGGAGCCAGAGCTAAAGCTGGCCCATAATAATAAAAAAATGACATACAACCAATGGAACTGTGCTGTGCCTCACTCTGAAAATGAGGACAAATTGATTTGGTAAGTATTGTAAAGTGAAAAAAATATTTGAGATAATTTGATGATAATATTCTTTATCATTTAGACTGTTAAAGTCACAATTAATTTGTAATTATGAGCTCTTAGTGTATATGTGTGCATATATATAGAGCTTTTTAGAAAAACATAAATATTTTAACTTTCAGGAAAATAAAACATACAACTATACATGTTTATTCAATTTACAAAATTATGACATATATACTTTTAATGCACTGGAGTCCACAATATAAAGAGAAGCTGCTTAGGTCAATCAAAGCCTTCAATTCTAAGCTTGGTGCTTCCACCCTTCTCTGTGCGTGACAGGGGTCGGCACCCTAACTCCCCAATCAGCCCTGCCCTGAGCCCGACCAGGGGCTGCATCTAGGGATTAGGCCTGCCCTCTGCCACCGGGGAGCGGGCCTAAGCCAGCAGGTCATTATCTCCCGAGGGGTCCCAGACTGTGAGAGGGCACAAGCCGGGCTGAGGGACCCCCCCCCACCTGAGTGCACAAATTTTTGTGCACCAGGCCTCTAGTAATATATATATAAAAAGGAAGGTAAATACAGTACATATAAAATTTTTTTGTGAAATTAATTTCATATTTTAGAGACATTAATGGAAAAATGGATAAACATATTTTAACAGGTAGAAAAACCTGTCTGAAATGTTCAGACATTTTTTAAAAAACACCTGGGAGACACTGTAGTCCTGAGTAAGAAAATTACATGTAGAGATACTTAGAATGTGAGAACTTTAAGATAACTAATTACTTTTCCTAATGATTCTAATCTGCAAATAAACCTGTGCCAGACCAGCTATATAAGACTTATCTGCAGATCTTTATAAGGCTAGGAATGCCTATTTAAGATGGAGACATTCAGGGGCAGGATAACCTGAACTTTTAAAAATGACTAGAGATTATTCAGATTTGTTAAAAAGTTTAGAAACTGATGACCTCGTTGAACCCCTTCCTTTTAAATGAGGAAAATGAAACAAAAAAGTGATATGACGCGTTTGACTACTAGCTGCATACATAGCTAACCTCGTGCCTTTTCAGCTTCTGTGTATAAGCAACAGGATGGATTGGAGGGTTAAAACCTGGAGAGGAAGATCCGATCCGTTTAAAAACCGTGATAGCGATCTAGGAAAAACTGCACTGGAGTCCTTAGCACCAGGGCTAGAGAGAAAGGGGGAGAGACAGTCACCTCAAAAGACCAAGAGCGTAATTCAATCCGGGAGAAGGCAACGGGGCGGGAATTCAAAGTTCACCTATGGGATCCTGGGCACAGCGTTTGTCACCCAGATGACTAATTTGGAAACAGCTGGAGGCCAGAGGATTTCAGAGGGCATTTAGGATCTTCAAGAGTTGTCTCACACAACAAGAACTTCCTCCATTTGTCTTCTCCCTTCCCTTCATAACCCAGAGCTGAAAGAAAGGAATTACCTTTTCCTGGGTCTAAAAGACCTGGAAACCTCTCTGAACCTTTCTTTCCGCCTTTCCAGGCAATGTCCGAGGATGAGTCAAGTTACACAGAGCTGATAAGGGGAAGAACTCAGCTTGCAAACCACAGGCTCTTGCTTCCCTTTTGTTATTTCTGTTTGTCAGGAGCAATAAATAAAGCATTTCCGAAGACCCAGGTCCCTGACCCTTGGTCAAAAAAGACCCCTACTCACCAGCCATAGGTAACCACAGCCTTAGCCCCTTCCTGCTGCCGGGAAGCAAGTCACAGGCTTGAAAATGAAACTTTCCGGCACTTCCTCATTGCAGGGGGCGGGGGCAACTAACCAGACATTGGGCAACTGCTGCTTAGAACTTCTGAGTTCACCAGTCAGTCCGGGAAAATCCCCTGAGAAGAAAACATTCTTCCTTTAGGGTATAAAGGAAAAGAAATGTAAATGATGAAACATTTTCCTATTGGCTGGCACCTCTGACTGTTTTTTTCCCTTTCCTTCTCTCACTTCCATGCCCCCACACCTCCTTCCCTCTGTCCTTTTTCTGACCCCTCAGTATTTCTCCTCTGCTCACTGAAAACTCATGAAGGAGTTAAAACTAACAGGTCTCCTTTTATTTCCAGATAAGAAGTATCCAAAATAGCTTCTGTTTTCTGTTTTGACTGTGCTGGTATCATCCCCTCCCTGTCTCCCTGTGCTTTTGAGATTTTATGGGTAAATTCTGAAGGAATCTGCATCTCCACTCTCCTCATGCTTTCCTGTAACTGCCTAAACATGCCTTCATGTTTAATTTTCGCTGAGGGTGGCTTCTCACTACCATTTTTTTTTTATATATATTCTCTGAACAATGAGTCACCAGAGAAGCAGTCTCAGGCTGTAGTAGAACAAATGCATGTCAGTAAAAAGAAGATATGTACAGAAGGTTAGTTAGTGGGGGGAAAAAAGACTGTGATATTCAGTTTATAAGGTCTTCAAAAGGTCAGAAATTCACCTCTGCTCCTAATGGATTAGGATTAGGAAGGGCTCAAATTGCATGTGAAAAGTAGTCTTTTCAGTCCTTCCCAAGTCTAGCATTGCTGACTGGAGGATTTTACCCCAAACTCATTACCAATGAATCACACAAGGATGTTACTTTGTATACAACACATACATAGGGTATCATGTATTGTCAGCTAATTGTTTTGTGTTTGTTGGGTTCTGTTCCCAATAGCACTGTAAACTGTGAGCTGCCTGAAGTTGAGTCAAAATTACTTTGCAGCCCTAAAAGACCTTAGGAAAGGACAGAAACATGGAGTTTCTGGGAGTGGTAAATTAGGATTTTGGATACATCACTTATCGTACTCTGCAATCCTCCTGCGAGCAGCAGGTTTTTTGAAGTCAGGTAGCTACTGTGATTGGCATCTGTGCCCCTAAAACTGAAAGCCCAGAAAATGGTGTCTAGAAAGAAAGAATGGTGCTATTAGGTTGTTTATTGATTATGGATCAAGTCTAAGGACTCCAGATCCATTACAAGCTCCAAATCCCACTGCTTATCTTCTCAGAGTAGAAAAACACCATAACAACTTTTCATTTTTTAAATTTCAGATTTATTAGAATGTTGAAAGAAATGTCTGTTTCCTGCAGACATGATTCCAAAAGCGGGAACAGGATGACAGGACTCCTGGCTTCCTACAAGAAAACACACACACACACACACACACACACACACACACACACACACACACATATTTAAAAAAGTGTCCTGCTAAAAGAAATGCAAGTTAAAAGATCACTCCACTTTTGGGGACAGAAGGAAGTGCTATGCTATGTCTACATATTGCCCCACTGCGTGAAAAGAGGGGCCATCTAAAACCACACTTCCATCATCCTATGGCCACATCTCAGTCTACATCAGCTGACCCTGTGAAAGGGGCATCTGACTGCTGAACTGAGAAGAGCAGCATGCTCTGCACTGAACCAGCAGAAAGCATCTTTTTAGTACCTCCCATTTACTATATGAGGCCTTGAGTTCTTGATGAGGATGAAGTTGAGGCCTTCTTCCCCAACCTCACCCACCCTTACCACACACACACACACACACACACACACACACACACACACACACATCTGATACAACTTACTTATATTAATGTCCTGGGAAGAGGTAGAAACATCTTGTCAAAGTCACTCTTTCGGTGGTGGGCATCTGTGCCTTACCATCAGGTGACTCAAATGAAAACCGAACCTAAATTGAAAAGAGAATCTGTATTTTTGTTTTCTTGAACAGCAGAAACTTCACTTAAGCTGGAAAAATTAGAGAAAGTGTAGCAAAATAAGTCATAAAAGCAAAAAGGTTGTGCATCTGTAAGAATCAGAGTAATATACATATCCAAGCATGGGATGACCAGACTGTTTAAATCTGTTGCTGGATCTAATTGCTATGGACACAGGGAAATCGGAGTCCGCTTGTTTGTCTCCTTAGGGTTCAGGGGGAGTTAAAATAAATTATTATTTTCTGGGTGTTGATTTCTAGATCATAGCAGATGGGATCTGCCTTTCAGGTTTGCTGACTCAGAAAAGAAACTCAAAGCTCATTTGGAAAGAAGGGCATTTCTGAGAGATAAGCCTGTCCAGAGTTGCTCCCTAGGTTTCCATCTGGAATAGTCAGGTATCCAGGGAAATAGAGTATGAGAAACATCTAGAGCAGCGGTTCTCAACCTGTGGGTCGCAACCCTTTGGGGGTCGAATGACCCTTTCACAGCAGTCGCCTAAGACCATCGGAAAACACATGTATAATTACATATTGTTTTTGTGATGAATCACTATGCTTTAATTATGTTCAATTTGTAACAATGAAATTGGGGGTCACCACAGCATGAGGAACTGTATTAAAGGGCCGCGGCATTAGGAAGGTTGAGAACCACTGATCTAGAGCCTTACCTTTCGGAAAATTTCCTCCATGTCGCAGGACCAGGCATATTCTTGCAAATTTTTGATAAGTTTAATAATAAAAAGAGAGCCGTGTTTGGGATGTCTCCAGGAAACATTATCTGTGAATAAAGCACATTCCAAATCTCATGCAAAGTTCTTGTCTGGCCAAAAAGATGGAATGCTTGGATTTCCCCTCCAGCTGAGGAAGCCTGTTGAGTTCATGCTGTTTCCTATACACTGTTTGCCATCATGTAGTGATTTATCCAATGTGTAGTGAGTATATTTTTACTGATACTTGACAATTGTTAATGCCATATGAAGGATGCCATAGATGGGGCAGATGGTAGGTTGGTATTATCTTAGGGTTCACGGATCTATAAAATTAGTAGATACGAAGGGGAGGGCAGAATGAGGTAGAGGGACGTGATTGGGCCTTAGGGAAGAAATACCTGAGTGTGGATCCCAAGAATATTTGTTTACTGACTCTAATTTAAGTTATTTATACACTCTGAAATGCAATTGCCTTGACTATAAAGGGTAAGGAGGGTAAAATTTTCTGCCACAAAAATGTGTTGAAAGATTAGATATAATGTATTATAAGTGTCTAAGAGAATATAGGATGTGTTATACCCAGTCCATGCAGGGTAATTATATTAATAACATTTCAAATGTCGACCTTGTAAATAATTTAATTAAAATCAAATACTATTGATCATAAGGTATTTGTGCAAAGAAAAGGTTAACTGAATATGAGAATGCTACCAATATAATAGAATTACAAACCTAAAAAAGGAGTAAGAGAGAAAGATCGTATTCTACTGGAGGACAAAACAGCCTTATGAAAGAGAAATATTGAAGAATGATATTATATAAATAGTGGACACATAGAAATCACTGAGCCATTTTAAAATTTTAAAAATAAATATATAAGAGAAAAGTGGTATAGCTCTGTATATTACCATGGACACAAGCTTTAACAAAAGATTTAGCCAATAATATTGGTAATAAAACATGTAATAGTAATAGGTTAAAATTCTATTTAATTTTATGGTGTTTTATGAAGCTGGTTCCTATTAAAAGAAGGGGATGGAAGAGAGGATGGAGGCAGAAATCTCCACACGTTCTTTGTGAAATTAAGGGAGTAAATCGCCACGTGTGTTCAGGAGAGCACCACAATGTGCTTGCAATTAACACCAGAGAAAGTGTAGCTAAGTTTTCTAATGGAAGATAACTAACTGAAGATAACAGAATTGAAGTTTTTAAGTGTCAACTGCAATGGAGGGGTGAGGAAAGTAAAAGAAAAAGAGAAAGAACTCACTCAGCAAGACAGATTTTGAGAAGCCAGGAGGTCTACAAAACACTATATAGCCAGAGGTAAATCTTTTTGGAAGGCTGAAATAAAGGGTTTTAAAGAAAATTTATGTCTAGTACTAAAATCTGCTAAATACACTCAAGCTATAAGTGTGTGGGACTTTTTGCCTAGCATCACTGTTTTGATTTTGGGGGAAAAAATGATGGATTTCTATATTAAGACATGGTCAACACACACACACACACAC